GGGGGGGGGGGAGACGTACACCAGGTAGGACATGGAGTGGGCGGCAACAGGCGCCGCTGGGGACATCGGGGGGGTGGGCGCGGCAACCGTGGTGGGCGCGGACGCGACGGACGCATGCCCGGCAGCTGCCTCCCCCGAGGGAGCAGGCTCGGTCGGGGGGACGGCCACGGCGCTGGCCACGGTGGTGTCGGTGGGGAGGGCATCGCCGGCCGGGGCTGGAGCCCCGGGTGTCGGGGCGTTCGCGCTGGAGAAGGCTCGCGCGAGTAGCGGTTGCAGGGGCTTCGGCACCGCAAGGGCCCCGGCCCGCAGGGAAGCCGCGCCGACCGACGGTATCCGCTTGGCGCCGATCAGGTATGCGTACATGTCCGGCCAGGGGGGGAGGAGAGCGGGGAAAGGGCGGAGAGGAAGGGGGGAGAGAGAGAGAGAGAAGGATATACCGATGGATAGGGGGGTGGGAGAAGGAAGGAGGGAGGAGGGAGGAGGGGGAGGCTGTGGCGGGGCGGCGTCAAATCCGCCATGGGCCTGGAGGGGAAACTGAAAAAAGCTCCCACATCGGCTTGGAGAAACAATCGAACGCGCGGCGGGGGGGGGGGGGATGAGGGACAGGGAGAATGCCCCGCGCCGCGCGGGCGGCAACGGGGCAGCCCCATGTGCGCGCGCCTGGCCCCGCCGCACCGCCGGAGCGGCCCTGTGTCCGGAGCGGCATCCCGGGGTTGATCGGCGGCGGGTGGACATTCTCACTCGGCCAGACCTTCCCAGGGGTGACATGTCCACACTGGTTAGGGGGCGCGGGGGCGAGGATCCTGTGTGGCTCGGATTCGAAGCGGAAGGACCATGGCGGCCGGCCGCCGAAGCGGCTGTCGGCACGATTGCCCAGTGACGCCGCAGGCCCGAGCGGGGTATCGTCATCGGATGAACGCGGGGGACCGGGCGGGGTGAAGGCACACCATCACCGCACGCGCCGCCGCCGCCCCCGCCGTCGTTGCCGCCGCAAAGGGGCGACTCATTCCCGGCCCCCCGCCCCCCGGGGGGGGGGGGGGGGCGGCTGCAACCCCCCAAGATCGCGGCACGCCCAATGGGCCTCCCCTGCCCCGACTGCATATGCAGCATGCAAGCGCGCACTTGTGTGTATGGCCTGCCCCGTTGCAGGACCCAGTTGAATCGATCCTCCACCGGCATCGCGTGAGAGAGAGAGAGAGAGAGAAGGAGCACCCAGGTGGGGGCAAGAGCGAGGACCTCGCCAGGCGGTAGCGAGACACTGGCAGCGAACCATCGCTCGCCACTCGCGTCCCGAGAGGCCCCCGGGACCAGCTGCCTGGGTCCTTTGCACCCCCCCCCCC